CCCCACCCTGCCGCTACATCCACTCTCTACGCGTCGCGTAGCATCGTTGGAAGTTGAGACGACGAAATCTACGGGGGATGCTGCCGCTGCTACTGCCGTTGGTGCACAGGAAGGAGAGGGGTATGAGGGTTGCCAGGCAACCCTTCGTTCTCTCATCGACCACCGTGACGGGCCGCGCCCGTCTGAGACCACACCACCACCACTACCGCCATACTATCGCCGTCAGCACGTGTTGTGCACTGCCTTTAAGCGCCGTTCACACAGGAAGTATTTAAATTGGATGTTCGGCGGTTGGATTTCGGGAATTGTTGCCGGGGAATGTTTATTGAGAGTGCGGTTAGGTGGATTAAGGGTACAATATGTGGTAGGGAATTTTGGTTGACTACGCTTTTGAAATAGCAATGGATATTGTCATTACATGGAAGTGGATTATAAGTGGTTTTCAGTTTTCGACGAGTTGTATCGCATTGTGTAAAGGTATTGATGCAAAAACGTAAATTTTGAATTTTTTAGTTTTTTTTGGTGATATTGAATTATATTTTGTTCAAAGGAGATGAAATATTTTAAACGTGTAATTTGCAATAACAATTGTTAATCGTAAAATTGTTTATTGAACGGTATTTAATGTAGAATAGAACTGTTCAACAATTAAACACTATTGCTTCAAGAAGCAGCCAGGTCTGCCTCGCCTATTGCTTACGGACCTTTCAACTTGGCATGAGTGAATGGAGCCATTGAAGAATTTAGCTTAGGTACTTCAAGCAGAAATTCTAAGAGGAATTACTGCTGCCAAGGGCGTTATTCAAGTAACTAAGTTCACGCTCATCTTCGGATAACCTAACCCTTATTAGCTAATCCCGTCAAACTACCGTATTCTAATTTCAAAATTCATTCTGTACAATTTTAATCAGATGCCAGAAACTTGCTTCTAACCACCAATCTAACCTAACTTCACAACTACTCTCGATCTTGTATTTTAACGAAATGTAAGATTGATTTAAACAAATGTTCATTTTTAACAAAATCAATTCTAACGAATGTTTCTCCATGACACTAAAAAATAAAAAGAAATAAAACTATGCCTACCTGTTTTCTGTTTCGTGCTGGAAAAATTTAAAACGATTTATTGCATCGTCAAACAGAAAAAAGCGACAACGATTCGTTCCAAGCTGACGACTAACGTGCGCATGCGCGCGGCCTCGCGCCAAATACACTTTTCATCGTGTATCATCGTAGGAGCTGCCGGGTTTAGGCGAGTCACGTAGACGAGGAAAGCTGCAAAAAGTACTTGACTTGAAAAATTGCATTTCCTGATCACGTCGGACTTTCCCTCTTTCCTTGTGCCCTCTACCATCACCGCCGCCTCCCCCCTGCGAACTCATTCTCCCTCTCCGTGTATCGCCATCCCCTGCGATGCGTATATTCTCTTCAGGCTAACTGGTTTCGTATACTCGCAGCGTCTCATTCGACTTAATCGCGTGAAATATGTTCGTCGCTGTCGGTGGTGCGTGGAGAATATCGTTTGGAAGGGGTGGATATTACAGTGGGATCGAGAAACTTCCGGAAAGCTAGATTTTTCACTGTGCTCATAAATAAATGGTCTTTTATGGAAGTTGAATTTCATTTTTTCAATTTTTTATTTAAAATTCAGAGTTTATTTAATTAACCTTAAAGTGTCTTCGAAGTAGAAAAAAAGTTTCTACAATGTTAGTGTCGATAAAAAATGTCAATTTTGAGATTGAAGAAACTTTGTTAAAATGTCAACAATATTATTTTTCTTGTATAGTTCTTTTGCGTAACTAAAGGTAACGAAGATACATAAGTAATGGATTCTAGTGGACAAATAGTATCAACTTTTATATGAGTGAGCGAATTTGCACAATTGGTAAAATTAGTATTAACAATTAGCTTCTACGAGTATTCGTCATGCCCTTCTTCATTTTCTACTTGAATGTCTAAACTTGTACAAAATTCCGACTTAGTCATCAAGTGACTAAGGTCATCCCGCTAAATACCGTAATGCATTCACGTCGGGAGCAATTAGTTCACGTCAAAAAATTTGAGTCAGTCAACGCCGAGAAACCGTTCTCGAAATATACTCGCACTCGACATTCTGCTGTCTTAATCCTTCGGATACAAAATATTCTTCTTTCGAAAACAGTGAAACAAAAAATAACTTTCAGTAAATTCCTTACTTAAAGCCTATGCTACAGGTCAAACTTTCGATTTACCTGGTTGGAAAGAAGTTCACGTAGCCAGAAACCTATAAAACTACGTAGGATCAATGTCGCGTAACACTGCACACACAGTCGGTAAAAAAAAATTGCAAGCCACAAATTTTAAACAAGTTAAGATGCATTTTCCAGCTGGCCAAAAGTCAATCTGCTCTTATGACGTACAATTTAGAGTGGCT